ATCAACCTCCTCGCTAATTTTCGTAATGTTGTTGTTGTTACTGCTGGTGCTGCTCGTGTGCCTCTTTTTAATGAAAGTGGAAGCGGTGTAGAGCAGGAGAACACGACGACTAGCCTGAAGGTTCTCATCCACAGAGTCCACGATGGCTGCAGGAAGACAGGGAGCAAAGAGAAAGATGAGAAACCGTGAAGGGAATAGGATGCATATATAAACTATACCAAACCACCCCAGGAGTGACAAGTGAGATGGAAAACCAGATAAATGGACTCCAGTCGGCTGAGTGAGGACTTGAACAAGGTAGCTAAGGAGAAATGGCGCACTCTGAATGATCACCAAGGGATGTAACTGGACAATAAATTATCTTGCACTTGAGGTGCCCAAATCCAGTTCTTAAGAGCTGCTTTCTCCAAAACTGGTGAATTAAATTATTTGATGTTTAACAGGCCTTTAAAGAGTTGAGTGACTGAGGGTGTTCTGTTATTGAGCTGCAAATGTTATTTTTTCAAAGACTAATTTTGTCCATGCAGGACAAAAAAAATTGGGAAGTCTGCCCTCGTGTGTTCATGTTACGCATTGCAACTTATACTTTTATCTGGATGAAAACTTTATTAAACAGAAGTAGCAGACAAGCAACATGGTAATTGCGTCCTGTTGGACACTGCAGATATTTTTCGCTTCAGACTGCATTACAGGTATGTATTAAAGGAATAGTTTAGTATATTTGTTTCTGCTTAAGATGTAGCCCACTAATGCGTTATTTAACTGTGAAAGTTGTCCTTTTGTTATGCAAAGTACCCACGATTTGCGAGGTCGTCCAAGATGGCGTCTGTAGTGTAGGTTATAGACGTATTTAGGATGTTAATCAGTAGAAATTATGTTTAAAAGTGCATTTCATATTCATATTTTTGTTGTATTAATTATCTTGTTTTCAGTTTCACACTAATGAATGTCATTAAACCTGCTGACAACGATGTTCAGTCTTAAGACTTTTGTAAAATGCTCTTAAAGGGCATCTTTGTTTTGAGTTGATATTTTGGACATTATTTAACATGAGTAGCAAACTTTTTTTCTGTTTTTTGTTTAATTTTTTTCAAAATGACTTTTTGCCACTCTTCCATAAGGCCCAGACTTACAGCACAGTTTGCCTTCATACTGAGGTTTCACACCAGTGCTAAATTAGCTTAAGAAGCTAACTTTCCCATGTGGGAGACTTACCCTGCCCCGGCAGGCAGTCACGGCCCGCGATGAACAGTTTGTAGCCACAGGCCTGTTCCAACACTTCAGGCAACGTCTGCAGGGCGAACTTCTCCACTTCCTCACTGAAGCCAAAGGCACCAGGATTGGGGTATGCCACATAAGCATCATACAGCTTGCCATCAAGATCTAAAAATAAATTTGAATTAGTTGCATAAAAAGCTTGCATTCTCAAAACAGACAACAAAATTGTACCAAGTCAAATAACAATGGCTTCAGAAAATAATAATAAAAACATGAGCGCACAAAAGAAACTTACAGGGACCAGTTAAACTAAAATGAATGCTTTGAATTGAGGGAGGAAGCACAGAGAAAACATGAATGAGAGGAATAAGCACACTCCATTCAGAAAAAAACCCTTGGTGGGAATTAAACCGTGCACCTCCTTGTTACAGGGCAACAGTGCCACCTGCTGTTCCACTGTGCAACCCACAATAAAAACACAATCCATTTATTTATTTTACATAGTGATCATTATAATCGGGCATTAAGTTTTTTTTTATTATAAACTGGACAAAGTCAGAAAAAATTATTTTACCAGGAACTCAGTTTTGAGTACAATTTAGTCAAAATCATAGGCGGGTGACATTTTATCTGAAAGAGAGTGCTGTGCTGTGGTTTGTGTGCTTCCTCTGTAAAGATGTGCTGAAATGCGAGATAAAAATTTTGAGATTCTGTAGCTTTGGATTTTTGTGTTCTACTGTATCCTATAGCTGCCGTATTGTTTTTTCTTTGGTTTGTTTTCATGGAGAGGCTGCTAACTGGGTGTTTCCACTTTATTTCCAGTGATGGTGTAGTATCCACAGCACATTTTAATCTTCACCTCTGCTGTAAAGTGTTACCTTTATTTGTATAAAGGACTGGAAACGCTCTCCTGAAGCACAGCACAATGTCTATCCTGAAGATGTAGTAGACGGTGACGCTGATAACGAAGAGAACAGTCACTCCACCAAACACTAAACCGATGGGAAGGATGATGTTCGGATCTGTGGAAACAAGAAATCACATATCTGAGTAAAATCAATTTACATTGAGAATACTTTGTTTTTAGCTATGTAGTTAAACAGACATTGCTTATAAATTTGTTTTGTAAAAGTATTCCAATTACTGAATTGAAAAAATAGATTTTTTTTTTTCTCTGAAAAATGATCAAATCTGCTAAAAAATCTCAATGCTGCTGCTCAGGCTCTGACTAAAACCAGGAAGATAGATGCACATAAAGTTTATAAATCACTGAACGGTTTTGGCTCCACAATACATTAACCTGTTGGTCTCAGGTTGTCATTCACAATGACAGGGGTATCAAACTCCAGTCCTCAAGGGCCGCTGTCCTGCAGTGTTTAGATGTGCCACAGGTAAAAAACAGTGGAATGAAATGGCTTAATTACCTCCTCCCTGTGTAGATCGGTTCTCCTGAGCCTTGCTAATGACCTAATTATGCTTTTCAGGTGTGGTGCAGCAGAGGCACATCTAAAAGTTGCAGGACAGAGGCCCTTGAGGACTGGAGTTTGACACCTCCGTCACAAGAGGACCCAAATTTGGGTCCTCTCGTGACAGACAGGTTAAAGATCTGCTATTGTCATAGCAACCTTCCAGACCTCTCGGGTCTGCTGGTTCTGGTTCTGCTCTGCATCCCCAGAGCCAAACATGGAGAAGCAGCATTCAACTTCTATGCACCACAAATCTGGAACAAACGTACAAAAAAACTGCAGAACAGCCGAAACACTGAGCTCCTTTAAATCAAGACTAAAAACCCGCCTGTTTGTTGCTGCTTTTGTACCACAATTAATGAAACACTAACATGTGTAATGGTGGCACTTGGAAAAATGCAATGTTTCAGTTGTTGCATTTTGTGTTTTTATGATATGAAGCACTTTGAATTGCCTTGTTGCTGAAATTTGATTTTATATAGAAAAACCAAAGTTTGATTTTCATTACAAAGAGCACTGAGCTAAACTGTTTGTTTTCTACCTTTAGAAATGCTTGGAGTTGAATGAAGGTCATTCTGTCTATTAGTCTTAATTTCTTTATTTTCACTTTTGTGGGAATTTACATGCTTTGATTCAAACGTCACTGCTGAGTCACCAGTAAGGGACAAGTAATGTTATTCTATTCTAAGTCATCATTAAAAACTGTCATTTTCACACACGTGCTATAGGTTGTTGATCACATGACTATTTCAATCTGGAAAGACTCGGATGAAGAAAAAGGAACAATTAAAAGATTTAATGACAGCAATGAATAACAGTTCTTTGGCGCTCGGGCCCTGGCAGCTGACCTGAGCCGAGATTTGATGTGAACTTGATGAACATCCCGATAACCGATTAGGGATGCTCTCCCCTGGGGCCCGACACTGGTGGTGGAGGTCTGGAAAGAGTGCCATCCTGGAGAGCCGAAGGATGTGGGTGGAGAAGGGGAGGTGGTGGGTTGAACACAGATGGGAAGCGGCTGACGGCTTGGGTGTGGATCCTTTTATGCTGAACTTGATTGATGATTGGACACGCAAGGTGAGGTCCAGTGCTCCAGTGCTTAGGGATGCTCTCCCCCCAAAAAGGGGCTGAGGCCAGGGCCGAGGCCCGAAGAAAAGGGGGACCCAAAACTTGTGAGATGGCTTGAGGGTGCGGAGAGAAACATCACAGTACTGGTAGTCGCCAAATGAGTGCAGAAGTCTAGAAGGTGTTAAGAAAATATCTAAATTAGTTAACTTTGGAAAAAGTTTGGCTCCCTCTGGATCCCAGGTCCTCTCGGCGGGCCCCCTGTAGCCACAAGGAAAACAATGCGTGTTGACGTCACAGAATTACAGAGTTTAATCCAGTATAAGACAATGCACAGAAACTGCAGAACGGAGACATACATTCATTTACCTGACATAAATGGAAAGAAAGAAAGAAAAGCAAGACGTGCAAAGACATCTTTGGAGAGTTGCAAGAGCAAATCTAATCTGTTACTTCTGTGTAGAAAGTTTTATCTTCTTTTCTTTAATTTATTCAAATAAGGTGTATCTTTGCTCATCCAACCAGGAGCTATCTCTGACCCTCTCTCAAGCCAGAAACCCCTGCCATGTTTACGGCCTTTCACAGATGAGTGTGAAAAGCTGCAACTTTCACTGTATTGTTTTCCCACAGACAAAAGGCAGTTCAAACGATCCTAGCAAACCATCTGCTGTAACTACAAGTAAAATAAAGGTCAATAGGCCAGAATAAGTTACTGATTTAAAACCACAATTTAGGCCATTTGAATCAAGACATGCTCAGTTTTAAAATTAGCCTATTTTAAATTTATTTTCTTAAAGGTGAGAAGCTGGTAGGAGGAATCAAATTTGATTGCTAGAGGGGTTTTCATGATATCATGAAGCCCATTCAAAGAATGAAGGCATTCTAAGAGAAAGGCTGAAAAATACCAGGCAAGAGAGTGAAGGATAGTTTAAGGCACGGAGCCAGGCAGGAGATGGGATCAGTTTCGGGGGACACAATCGCCTGGAGACAGGCTGGAGGATAGGTGCCTGCTATATGGGAGCCCTGCTGAAAATATGAGCGAACAACTACTGAGACATGGGCCAACAATGAGAGGAAGGCTAGGACATGGGCCAGCCGTAGGGGCAGGCCATGCCGAAAAAAAACTCTGACGTAGAAATGAATGATTGAAGATTTAAAGACAAAATTAATAACGGTTCTTGGGAAATGAATGACAGTTCTTTGGCGCTTGAGCCCCAGCGGAAGATTTGAACTGTGATCTCGGGTGATCACCCCCGACTCTGATTAGGGATGCTCTCCCCCCCAAAAGGGGCTGAGGCCGGGGCCCTAAGGTGAGAGGAGGGAAAGGGCAACTGATCCGCCTGTACATGCTGCTGTAAACACCGTCTTATCTGAGCTCTTCATAAGAAACATGCAAAGGTAATAAAACGAAATAACACAGAGACATGAAGCAACATGGTTATATTTCTCTAAAAGCAGCAACTTTGAACCTGAACAGCTGAACCAGATCTCTGACACCAGAGCTGCGCTACGTCAAGCTATGAGGCTTGTTGAGCTTCGTCAGGCTTCGGAAGCTAAAAGCCCGAACCGTAACCTCCCCGTTAGTCTGTGACACTAACGACAATAAACACACATAATATACTTGAAAATTAGGTAAAAACATTGTCCGTTAGAATGTTTAGATACTTAAATAGCACATTTTACAAGAACAATGTCCGAGAATATTGCCTATTGCTTATTGCATAAGCTAAGGTTAATGTTAGCCACAAAGTTTAAGTAAAACTCACCTTCGTATCAGTGAATGTATAACGAGGCGTACATCTAAAACCTTTTTCCAGCTGACTTGTTGGGGCTTCGGATCGATGTACAAACCTTGGCCAAGCACTGGAAGCACCTAGTGTAAATGATATTTGTATGGGATCGGAAACAATGGAGCCGCTCCACCGTGAACGCGGAAGCTGAGGTGCAAAGAGTCCATAGTGGGACTCTGAACCTGTGAGTT